GTCAGTAGGCAGCGCCGTCATGATAAGGGCAGAACGTACATGGTGTGCCCTCAGCAAAGGTAAAGCCGACCTGGTTGAGGGTCATGACTCTGTCGAGGCTCAACTCGTTGTACGTCTCCTGCATTGTGAACCTGTCGCGATACTCAACGGAGCCATCACTAAAGGCTATGCAGACAGCCTTTCCGAAGTGGATGGTCTGCATTCCGACAATGACTTTGTTGATGAACACCGGGTCCAGTCTTTTGAGTCTGTTGGGATCCTGTAATCTGTTAGAATGAGGAGAAAAGTCATGCAGAGCAGTGCACATGTACCTTGTCGTTCCCGCCGGCGCTGCTGTTTCTGCGGCTGCCCATCTGCTCAAACGCAGGGTGCAGGGCGGGAGATGGTTCATGGCCGACTTCCCACCGATCTATGACGCTCTGCATCTCTTGGAAGGGGCTGTCAGTTGTGGGGAGGTAAGATCGAACAACGAGAACGTTCATGGGGACCCAGTTCTGGCCAGTGTTGTCTAACTGCGAAGGTAACAGCTCGATATGGGAGATCTGCGTCATGGAGGCATCTATGGGGTTTCCGCTCTGCCCATTGGGCATCCAGCTGGATATTGCCAAGTGTTTTGCCGTCATGGTAGGATTCAGGGGCTGTCCGCTGGGTGGTAGCTTGTTATCTGGTTGTGGAGGGCCCCAGGATATTGATACCCGGACCAGTCGAAGCTGGCGGGAGGCAGTCGCCAAGGCGACATACATGTGATCTAGGGTCTGTGAGCAGGCATACAGAGGCAGAGTCTCGCGGAACGGCTTACTCTTGTCGCTGTGTAGGGATGCATGTGTGATGAGGTCGTCTGAAGAGCTGAAGCTGTCAAGCTCCAATGTGGTTTCTTCAAGCTTGTTATTGCTCTGGCTCCAGAACAAGCGAAGCATGCCACTCGTCGTGACGCACAGGAGTGCGCTTTTGGCAGGATTAGGATGCCAGGGGCCAAAGGCATGGATAAAGGAACTCTCGTAGCGATAAGCAGTGGCATCCTTGACAGCAGGCCCATGGAAGACGTGATACTGCGAGATGGTCAGGGTCGAGGCACATAGCCCGCATTCAAGGGAGGAAGCTCTTACGTTTTTGTGCTGAGACGCAAGTGGCAGCCAGAAGCAGCCGGCGATGGCATGGAGGTCGTCGGCATGATCGGCATCCCACTTGCGAGTGAGAAAGGGGCGGTTGAGGGAGACGGAGAAGGCTAATATGGCAACGCGGCCGGCGGCATCGATGACGGCGAGCTCGTTGCTACTGGTAGCGGCCCATGCGAGGTGAACTATTGGTGTAGACGGGCTGGCGGTGATGGCGTCGACCGTAGTAGGCTCGCTGAGGCCCCAGCCGCCAGTCTTGGGATCGGCCCGCAGATACCTGACTTGAACGGATCTGCCATCAGGTGAGATGTAGGCGATGGTTCCCGATTTGGACCAGGCGATGCCTTGAGCACACCCTCGAGTTCTCATCTCATCCACACGCTGAGCGAGCTGCCGACTAGGCCCTCGGACATTGGGTAGGGTGAGGTTGACACCATCGCCAAAAAGATCATCGACATCAAGACCATCAACCTGCATCGGGCCGTTCATGGGAATATCCCCGGCGGATATGGCGTCATGGTTCATGACTTGGTCTCCGTCGTGAGTGGTCGTCTCCATGGGGTTGTCAAGCATGAGAGGCATCTCAGCCTCGATCGAGAGGATGGTTGGTAGGTGGGGGGTTCGCGAGGCTGGCTACCAAGTGGTGAGATGCCTAGACTAAGCTGAACGGTCGATTGAGGCGCATTACTGCGATTGAGAGGGGGAGCTGGCGGTGATGTTGTCCAAAGCAGCTTTATACGAGAGTATGCAGATGTTGATAGAGAGAGGTGGTGAATCGTCGTCTTGGTCCTCGGGCTTCTCAGGGCTCAGCAATATCTATAGGTCGTCCGCTGTCAAACAAGGACAAATGGACCGACGTTTGACGGACACCGTCAAGGCCAATGGAAAATACAGCCCAGGGGCTGACCAATGGTGAGCGGCCCCATCAGCCCCAGTGGAATCTAGTCTATTTCAGGCACCAGCCACATGCACTGTGTCCGTGGCTGGTGGCATGCCGACCAAGACTTAATCCATTTGGACCCATAAATCTCGGTACCTCCTACTGCGGCGACAGTGGGACCGTACACGTCCATCGCCGTCAATTGAACCCCACCATGCCATTAACCCCGCCATCCATCTCCATGTTCTGACATCTTTTGAGTGCTTGACAGCTTCACCCCCCCGCCTGAACACCACCATTCACCAGACTCTAGCCACCTGAATCGAAACATCCACCATGGCGCCCAAAGCCATCATCGCCCCTTCTATCCTTGCCGCCGACTTTGCCGACCTGGGCCATGAGTGCTCGCGTACCATCAAGAATGGCGCAGACTGGCTCCACGTTGACATCATGGACGGTCACTTTGTCCCCAACATCACATTTGGCCCTCCCGTCGTCGTCAAGGTGCGCAGCCACGTCCAGCAGCCGACGGAGAAATTCGCCAAGGGCACCTTCGACTGCCACATGATGATTGCCGAGCCCAAGAAGTGGGTGAAGGAGTTCAAGAATGCCGGCTGCGACCTGTACTGCTTCCACTACGAGGCCGCCCACTCTTCCGACGCCGAGAGCCCCGAGACGACCTCCGACAACAAGACGTCCCCGAAGGCGTTGATCAAGTACATTCATCAGCAGGGCATGCTCGCCGGTATCGCCCTGAAGCCCGCAACCTCGGTCGATGTCCTGTGGGAAATTCTCGAGAACCCCAACCAGGACGAGAGGCCCGATGTATGTGCTGCAGCATCCCGCGAATCTGGCAATCCTCTGTACGGCAGCTGACGTGTGTGTTCGCAGATGGTCCTCATCATGACGGTCGAACCCGGCTTCGGCGGCCAGAAGTTCATGGCCTCGGAACTGCCCAAGGTGCAGGCCCTTCGCGAGAAGTACCCCGATCTCAACATCGAAGTCGACGGCGGCCTCGGGCCCGGCACCATCGATCAGGCTGCCGACGCGGGTGCCAACGTCATCGTCGCCGGCAGCGCCGTGTTCGGCGCCAAGGATCCCGCCGAGGTCATCTCGCTACTGCGTGATGCCGTTGACAAGCGTTCGGGGAAGCTGTGAGGGGTTGAGAGCTTGTTTTGGATGTAGCGAATGGAGTTGGGGGGTTAAAAGTGTGTGTGGGTGTGGCTGCGTGCATACGGGCCAATTTGGTGACTTATAGAGAAGGTGAAATCTTAATAGAATGGCGGATTGGGTACCATGGCGTGTCACTCTACGTTGTTCTTTATGTATGAATACACCAAAGCATGCGCCCAAGTCCCCTGGAAGCAATTAATCCGTCTTCGATAGGCTCAACCATTTCTCAGCATCATCTCGACGCGATACTCAGCATCCTGTTGACGACCAATGCGGAGAGGGGATAAAGTGTTCGGCCAGGTCATTTGTGGCTCTTCTGGCTCCAAGAGGCCCATCTGCAGGCCTGTTGCAAGAGCTGGTCCTCGGCGCGAAGCATCCTGGTGTGTCTGTGAAAGTCAAAAGCTATACGCCACTGGCTCCCGGAAATACATCCGCCGAAACGGGTCGCTATGAATTTGAGGGTTATCGGATCGCATCCTTCAGCTCTTTGTATCCGCTACAGATAGGGGCAAGTAATACCGACCACAATCCATCAAGTCATAGTATTTCTCGTCATGATTGAGGTCCGCTGATGCCGTAGCCGGAGACACTGAAAACTGTGGGTCCAGATACATGGTGGATCTCATCGGGCCCATGCCTGGTGTCTGGGACGTGGGACGGGAGACACAGAAGGCCAGAGGAAGGCCCACTCCGAAGATCGTACCCGTGGCCCGCTGAGCATCTGCCACGGACGATGCCCTGCTGGTACCTAGGCATGCCCCCCAATCTCGTAACCGAGCAACGCGTGTGTGTTGGGCATGCGACAGCACTGAGCATAGCGCACACAGCGCGACACAACAGCACTGTCAGTCGGCCTGTCAGGTACCTGTCTAGGTACCTGACGAAATGAAAGCAAGCACTGAGCCTCGATCGAAGCAAAGGGATCTCACCACGGTTTGGTACCATTGCCATGGCTTTCTCACAACGGAGGGCTGGAGAGTTGAGCGCGTAGTCCGTACTCAGGAAGTGAAAAAGGGGTCAGCACCAAGCCGAGACAGCATTCATTCGGTCAATGCTCTCCAGCCTGGGAGGACAAAGGGAGCTGAAGTTCGACAGGACTTTGGATGGCTTGCCTCAGGCCTGGTCCTTCTGTAAGGCTCTCTCTCAGACGATTGCTGCTCCCAGCACTGCGGAAGGCTCAGTGGAGAGGTGGCTGCATTTTGGCCAGTCTGTGCCTACCGACCTAGGTAAGTAGGTACCTAGGTACGTAAGGTGCCAGCCAGGTAGGTAAACATGACCAGGTAAATGACGCGACCCATCAGAGACTTGGGGAGGGCGGCTTCCCCTCACCGCATCCCAGGTTCTCTCCCGGTACCCTCGTCCGGTCCCTCCACACGCGATGTACCCTGATGCAGGGCCCCCTCATTGGCCTCTTGCCTCCGCTCGAGAATCCAGTGCGAGTGGCCCCCTCCGGCAGGAAGCGTCAGACTGTGACGGACCGCCGATTTCCCTTTCTTCAACGACAACTCATTCCTTTCCGCTCCTTGAACCTCGATTCTCCCGCCCGCTCCCGTCTGCTTGGACCGTCCTCCGTCTTCTTCTCTCATGCCACCCCCAAAACAAACTTGCGTCCCCAGGCTTTAAACCTTGCAGAAAGCCTACCTTTCTTCTTCCCCCCCGCGAACACAAGCGCCATGATCTAAAGTCTCCTCCCCAAAACGACTGCCCGCCGCCCACTGCAAGAGAGCCGCATGATTTCGCTACCCTGGTCCACTCTCTCCTTCTTTCCTTCTCTCTTACGCAGCTCGACCCACGACCGCCACGACCACCCTGACTCCGATCAGGACACCACCATGAATTCCCTACCCGAACAACCGCGACCGCGCGACAACGACCAAATGGATTGCGAGGACGAGAGCCTTTGTGAGAGAGCCTCGTCCGCTTTCCCGACCGGTCGCGACTGCCATGACGAATCAGACTGCGACCGCAGCCGAAACCCCGACTTTGACACTGTTCCTTCCTCGCCCCTCTCTGAATTGGCCAAGACGCCACCGCTGTTCTCCTCTCCCCTGGCCGTTCGCGATCCCGCCGACCGCTACCCGTCCCCTTCCATGACGTCCCTCTCCTCCTCTTCCGCCCTGGCCTCTGGCTGCCAATCACCCTCGCGAGCCGACATGCCGCTGGCCTCCGACACAATCAACGTCAGCAGCTTCGCCGAAATGGCCACGTCGGCGCCATCCGAGCGCCCCCGCAAGAGACGCAAGATTGCCGCCCCCAAGGAGCGCACCACCGAATATCTCGACTTTGACAAAGTCCGCGACAACGGGTTTGACGCCGAGAGCGACAGAAAGCTCGATCGCCTCGTCGACACCCTGAGGTACCAGAAAAAGATTGTCGTCATTGCTGGTGCCGGTATTTCCGTCTCCGCTGGCATTCCCGACTTCCGGTCAAAACAAGGCCTCTTTGCGACACTGCCCAACGAGCACAAGATGAAGGGGTCCGGAAAGCACCTCTTCGACGCATCGGTGTACAAGCATGACGAGACGACGGAGAAGTTCCACAAAATGGTGTGCGACCTGGCCACGATGGTCAAGTCGGCCCAGCCCACAAAATTCCACCACCTGCTCGCCTCCCTTGCTGCCGAGGGCCGCCTTATGCGACTTTACACGCAAAACGTCGACTGTGTCGATACGAACTTGCCCCCGCTGCAGACGACTGTCCCTCTGAACCGCAAGGGGCCATGGCCCAAGACCATCCAGCTGCATGGAAGCGTCGAGCACATGAACTGCTCAAAATGCGGACAGATCACCCCGCTGAACACAAAGCTTTTCGTTGGGCGCGAGGCTCCACTTTGCGCAGAGTGTACCGAGATGGATACCGTCAGAACCATTCACGGCGGAAAGCGAAGTCATGGAATCGGTCGCCTCCGCCCCAGAATGGTGCTCTACAACGAATACAACCCGGATGAGGAGGCAATCGGCAACGTCTCGAGTTCTGATTTGAAGAGCCGACCAGATGCCGTCATTGTCGTCGGCACCAGCCTCAAAATCCCCGGTGTAAGGCGCCTTGTCAAGGAGCTCTGTCAGGCTACTCGGAACAAGCGCGGCGGCTTTACTGCATGGATCAATCTTGATTCGGAGCCCCAACACAACGATTTCAAGGACTGCTGGGACCTCGTTGTGCGCGGAAAATCTGATGACGTCGCCCACTTTGCCCAACTACCACCCTACGATGTGCCCAGCGCGGAGCCAAGCGATATTCTCAACGAAGAAGACAACAAGATACGCGAGCAGTGGCTGCAGCGGGACAAGGTTGAAGTCCAGCTTTCGCAGTCATCTTACAACACATCTCTGCCCGAGCCGGAGTTTGGGGCTCTCACCGAGACTCAAGCCAACGCCACCAAGGTCCAGGGCATCCCCACGCCCAGCACCAGCCCTCGATTGCTACCCACACTACCGGGCAAGAAGGCTGGAAAGTCGAGACAGAGCAAGCTTGCCTTTGGTGCCACGCCAGTCGCAAGCTCCGACAGCGAGGCACCATCGAAAAAGCGCAAGAGAGCGCCGGCGAAGAAGTCTGGGAAGCAGGCGAAGAAGGCGGCCGAGCCTCCTAAGAACGCAGTCACGCAGACTTTCCGTGCTGTCAAGAACCGAGCTCTTGTAACGCCCGTCCAGGCAAAGCAAGAAAAAGACATCAAGCAGGAGGTCGCGAACGAATTGCCTACCTTGCGACCACAGCAACCCTTGTCCCGTAGCCCAGTTGCGTATACGACGCAGAAGTCTTCGGGAAAACCTGGGGCCGACTCCCTCATGTCCTCACCGCTGCTCCCGGCCCTGACTGACATGCAGTGCGACGACCTGGCTACCCTACCGACTACGCCGGCCCACACGCAGCGAGGCACTTCTCCGTTGGACGGACGGTCGTCGCCTTGTATCGGCGTCTCTACCGATAGCTGCCTGGGCAGCATTGTGGCAGCCGCTTCTGAGGGCCCGCGCATCATATCTCCATCATCGAAACCTCGGGGAATGGAGGGGCTTATCAATTAGCGCCAGATGACATGATGAGACGAGAAGCATTCTTAAGGATCGACGACTCCCATGTTGGGAGTACGAAAGGCGTTCTGGCAGGCTTACAACGCCAGGTGCGGGCTGTACATTGTAACTCTTACGCATGATAAACAGTACCGGTCGGTGTACCCTTGTTTCAATGATGTTGGAGGAAGCCCGTTCGAAAGGCTCCGATGGAAGCCTTGTCTTCATGACCACTGGGGGGGCTTTTCGCAAGGCAACCGCTCAAGACGGTTGCAATAGGCATCCCTCACCAACTGGCGGGCATTGGTAGTCCTCGCCAGAGAGAGGACGAATGTCAGGAGCATAGAGGCTGGCGTACGGAGTTTCATATTTAGGAAATACCTTACTTGCCTGATCCGAACGACGGTGTTTGGGTCGGTTATTTAATACCCTTGATGAATGGACACCCATAATCACACACACACACACACACATCTGACGTGAGCTGCCTGGCATGTGCCTCATCTTTGTTCTTTGCTTGAGACGCTCACTCCCACGCACGACAAGGTACCCTCCAGACGAGACCCTCCTTTCGGCGTCACGGGTCCACGTCGGCGGGGGCCAAGAGTGCTAAAAGGGCACTGTGCCGTCGTCACCTGGCAGACCTGGCCGGCGACGCACTCTTGGAGCCGAGGGGCCAAACTCATTTCGAGGCCCATCAACAGCACTTCCAGGGCACGGGGTAGCACGCTATGCAACGAGCGAGCAACCAGCCAGTGGAAAACAGAAAGGGCACCCCACGCAGGGAGGCAGCCGGGTCAATTGGGTATCCCCGCCTCGCAAGGCACCAACTACTACTACCTACCTACCCTCTCTCTGTCTGTCTGCTCACTGTCTATGGAACGCCCGCCAGCCTCCTGCGCACCGCACACGTGACATGTGCCTTGCCTCAAGGACGAAAACAAAACGCCGTTTCAAACCCACCCCAATCTGGTGAGACGCACGTATCTTGAGCTTTTTCCGAACCTGTCCCTCATTCTGCAAAAGTCTTTCTGTACACGGATGGCCAGCACTAAAAAAGAAGAAAAAGAGTCCTCCCGTGACATTCCGCCTCTCGCACGCGGCCTTACAGGGGACCAGCGGCAATGGGCCCTTCGCATTCATCAGCCTCGCGAGCGAGGCGAAGAGGGCAAGGCTACCATATCATGTGACATCCAACCCGCCCCCCCAAGCCTTCCCGTCCTTCCGCTCGCCCCTATCAGATCGCCCAGTACGCCATGCAGTTGCGCGCGCAAATAACCGGCTCAGTGGCCGCATCTTGATGCTTGATCCCGGCTTGTAGTTTATCGTGATTTTTGGCCCTCTGAACAAAATGTACCATCCCCTTCCTTCCGGAACGCCTTGCCATGCATGCATGCCACACACAATATCGTTGAAATGTAGAAGAAGAAAAAAAATACAACAATAGTCGTCATGGTTCAGTGTCAAGGATATCCCGGACTTTGATGCGCCACAGTCGCCTGCATCTAAGAGGTAGCGGCTGTGCCGTTCGAGTTCTGCGCCTTCTTCTTCGCGTCCGACTGTTCCCGATCGCGAATGGTCCTGTACAGGAAGCTAAGTCTGTCCGCAGTCACGGGGTTGCTGGTGCTGTCAACAGGCCACAGCGTAGCCAAGAATTCCCTGCGCCATTGAGTCAGCTTTGTTTGTGTGGCGGACGAAGCAAAATATACGTACCAGAAGCGATTTTTCAGGGGCTTGTCCGATTCTCGGACAAATTCGCGATCGAGAAAGCTGCCGATCACAACCAGCTCCGACCCGAAGATCCTCGCACGCTCCTTGCTAGACTTGACCTTATCCTTTGTCGTGCCGAGAATGATCTCAAAGTTCTCCCGCACAGGCTTGAGTAGATACCAAAGCATCGCGTCGGGGTCCTTTTCTCTTTCTTCGCGGCTGTCGCCCATGAGGCGAAGATCTGCGAGGCGTGCAAGAGCCTGGTTTCTACGCTCGCGATCCTCGTCATGAGCCTGACTGTTGTCATGCGAGCGGCGTCGATCATCTTTATGCCGGGATTCCTCGGGCCTGCGATGCTTACGATCACCGTCTTCTTCTCGGTGGCGTCTCTTTTCGGGGCGAGGAGATTTTCGGTCGTCTGCGTGACCCTTCGACCGACGACTGTCATCGGTACGTCGGTGTTTGGGAATGCGTCCCTCATCGTGTCCCGAGTGCTTCCTCTTAGATTCGGGGCGCGGCGTTCCGCGGTCATCCACATTGCTCCGTGACCTGTGATGATCACGTTCTCGTTCTCGGTCCCGGTGGCTACTATTCTTCTTGCTCAGGTGAGGAGCAGGTGATGCAGCCGCACTACCAAGTTCACTGCGTCGGCCCCCATTGAGGTGCTTCTTATTGTTCCTGTGGTGATTTTCCACAGCCTTCAGTGTGGCAGCGTCCGTGGAATGTTTCGACTGCAAGACGGAAAGAAGGTATTCAGACCGACGGACCAGATGGACCGCGCCTGGAGAGTTGATACTTTTCTCGCTGGCCTTGTTGCGCTCCTCCTTTTTCTCAACACGATGCTCTTCCAAGAAGAACTTGTCTTGCAGATCCAAGCCAGCATCGTCGCGAATTTGTGTCCAGGCACCGAAGCCATACCGGTCAATGCCGACCAGGAGCATACCGTCTTCCCTAGCACCCCATTCACAACTGTAATGGGCTGCCTTGGAGGCGTCCGGTAGACGAAAAGACTTGTCGTCGTTATTCTTGCGCAGGACTTGACGGAGAAGGCGCAGCTGCTTGGGCCGTTCAATGGCTGTCTCGGCATTCATCTTGCGAACCTCTCCAAAGTCAATCAAGACTGCCTTCTTGTCCTTCTTTGTCAAAGACTTTCCGAGCTTCCGTTCATCTTCCTCAAGCCTCGAGTAGTTGTCATCCAGAGCTTGACCGCAGACCTTGGTAAAGTCATCGATGATGGAGCTCAGGAACTCCCTGTCTCGTTCCGTCAGGCGGGCTTCATGGACAATCTCATCACCACGGTCCTCCATGGCTCCGTAACGATAGAATGCCTTGAGAAGGTTGCGAGTCTCCTTCTCGTTCAAAGGACGTCTGGGATCGGACAGTAGAGCCCTCTGCTCCTCGGCCTCTTGCCGTTGCTGTTCTTCCCTCTGCCGCTTCTTGGCGACGCGGTCAGCTCTGTCATTTTCATTATGGCGGTTCTTCACGGCGGCTCGGCGTGGTGCGCTCTCGGCGGCGACCTTGGCGAGATAAGCTTCGTGACGGCGCTTCTCCTCCTCAGCCTTGATATTCTCAAGCTCCTCGACAGGGATGATCTGGTCCCAATCAAGAGCCAGATCGTCGACCTTGACGTCGGTGTACTGCATAAAGTTGTCCCAATCGATGCCACCACTGCTGAGGTTCATCTTGTCGTCGACCTTTGTCTTGGTAACTTCAGCATTTTCCAAGATGGAGTCAATATCCAGTTGTTCAAGACGCTCCTGGTTGCCAGTCTGCTCGAACATTTTTTGCGAGCGCATCTTGAGGATCCACTGAATGTCATCGGCCGAGCTGGGACCATCCATCTTCAAGCCCTTCTTGTTGAACTCATCGCGGAAGGCCTTGCCTTCATCAGTGACACCGGCCTGGATGGTGAGATACTCAAGAAGAAGCTTGTTGCGCGCCCGTTCAAGCACCTCCTCCTCAACGGTTTCCTTGGAAACGAGACGGTAAATGCTGACCGGCTTCTTCTGGCCAATACGATGCGCGCGGCCCATGGCTTGCAGATCGGCCTGCGGGTTCCAGTCCGAGTCAAAAATCACGACAGTGTCAGCGGTCATCAGGTTGATGCCCAGGCCACCAGCACGCGTAGAAAGCAGGAAACAGAAGTCGTCACTTCCCTCGGCGTTGAAATGGTTGATCGCCATACGGCGAGGACCAGCCGCAATCGTACCATCCAGACGTTGGAACTTGTAGCCTCTCAGAGCAAGATAATCACCGAGAATATCGAGCATTTTCACCATCTGGCTGAAAATGAGGACTCGGTGGCCATCTTTCTTCAGTTTTGTCAAGAGCTGATCGAGCAGCATCATTTTTCCACTACTGGCAATGAGACCTTTGACTTGGTCCTCTCGACGAGTGCTGCCTGCGAGAACCCTGTCCTCGGCTCCGCCAAACATGTAAGGATGGTTACTGACTTTCTTCAGTTCCATCATGATGTTCAGGAGTGAATTCTTCTGACCGGTAGCGTCGGACAAGGCGGCGTAATTGCGGGTCAAGATGTTCTTGTAGTATTCCAGTTGCACGTCAGAGAGTTCGACGCGGATGATCTTCTCCGTCTTTGGTGGAAGGTCAGACTCCACTGTCTCTTTTGTACGACGAAGAATATACGGGGCGATCGAGGTGTGTAGGTCCTGCAACTTTTCCTGGGTGTCAGCACCGGTGAGAGTCTCGAGCTCTTCATCGATGATGACTTTGCCCGGATTCAAGAAGTCCATCAAAGCCGAAAGCTCGGCGAGGTTGTTCTGGATCGGGGTACCGGTAATCAAGATCTTGCAGGGAACGCCGAAGCTAACCAGCTTGGCATATAGCTGAGACTCCTTGTTCTTGAGACGGTGTGCTTCGTCGACCAGCAGAGCCTGCCACTTGATGGTTTGCAGGAATGACCAGTCATGCAGAATCATCTCGTACGAGGTGATGAGAGCGTTGAACTTGGGCTTCTTCGAGTTACCGTTGATCATTAGCTCATTCTCGCGGATAGTTTGGCGAGAGGCCTCGTTGCCAAGATAAACGACATAGTTCATGTCCGGAGACCAGTTGTCGAAGGTATCACCCCATGCTGGGATGACGCTAAGGGGAGCGACAATAAGGAAGGGACCTTCCTGTTCGCGGTCGTTGCGAAGCCAGCTCATGAATGACACGCTTTGAACCGTCTTTCCGAGACCCATTTCATCGGCAAGAATGACATTATTCGCCCGCGTCCAGTTCAGACAGAGGAAGTTCAGACCACGGAGCTGGAAGGTCCGTAGCTCACCACCCTTGATGTAATC